TACACTTGCACACGTGCAGAATGATGTAAGTACGAGGTTATTCTTTGTAGCATCTTCTGCAAGAGCAAGATTTGAAACAACCCAAATGTCCACCCATCGGGTCCACCCTGGTTAAGCAGGCTATGGTGTGTGCCCATAAGGAGCTACTCGGGGGGATCATGACCCGAGCCAAAGGCTGTAAAAAGGTTAAAAATGAGTATGCTCACATGCTCGCTTCGGCAGCACATATACTAAAAACGAGTATGCTCACCAGATGCTGGGAAAAAATCTTGAAAAGAGATTGTTAGGGGAAGCACACACATGCACACAAACAGGTGACAACCAGGCTTATACTATGCTATCTTCGGATTACAAAGAAAGAAAATAAGATTTGCTTGCACTTACACAATGGAACTGGGAAAGGACACCCAGAATCAGAAACCGTAAAAGGAAGAAGAGGGGGAGCTGGGTAGACGTGGGATGGGGGAGACGTCTCACTGAATACAATTTTACATATTTTTATTTCTAATGATGTGAACGCATTACATGTTAGAAATAAGTTAAGGGAGGGCACCTGGGTGGCTCAGTTGATTAAGCCTCTGACTTGGTTTTGGCTAAGGTCATGATCTCAGGGTCGTGAGATCGAGCCCCACGTCAGGCTCTGCACTGAGCGTAGAGCCTGCTTAAGGTTCTCTCTCTCTCCCTCTGCCCCTTCCCCCACTCTCTCTTTCCTCTCTAAAACACACACACACACACACACACACACACACAAAACAAAAAACAGGGCACCTGGGTGGCTCAGTCATTAAGCGTCTGCCTTCGGCTCAGGTCATGATCCCAGGTCCTGGGATCGAGCCCCGCATTGGGCTCCCTGCTCCGCGGGAAGCCTGCTTCTCCCTCTCCCACACCCCCTGCTTGTGTTCCCTCTCTCGCTGTGTCTCTCTCTGTCAAATAAATAAAATCTTAAAAAAAAAAAAATCTCTTGGGGCACCTGGGTGGCTCAGTTGGTTTAGCATCTGCCGTCAGCTCAGGTCATGATCCTGGGGTCCTGGGATCAGGCCCCAAATCGGGCTACCAGCTCCGCGGGGAGCCTGCTTCTCCCTCTGCCTGACACTCCGCCTACTTGTGCTCTCTCTCTCTGTCAAATAAATAAATAAAGTCTTTTTAAAAATTATTTTTAAAAAAAGTTAAGGGAAGGTAACCTCTGAGTTATCCTAATTTTTTTCAAAGATTTTATTTATTTGTGGTTTGTCCTACTCGGCTTAGTTTGTCCTTGAGCCTATTGATCTAAAAACCTCCAAAATTAGGTCTCTTGAACTGGGTCCGATCATTGGGCCCTTTGGGAACTCCCTGGGTCCGGTGAAACTGACACCATGGACCAGGCTTCAGGCATCCTCTCTTCCGCATCCTCTACTGCTTCTCAGAAGATTCCTGAAGTGTGGAATCCAGGTAAGGGACCCTGAATTGTGTGTTCACCCAAAACCAAACTCCCCCCCCCGAGTGTTAGAGCCTGAGAATTCAGACCAGCTCCTGTCATTCATTAAAAGCAGCCCTCACCCACCTGGGGTCTTGAAGGCAGTCCCCCGGCCTGCTGGAGCCAGCCAGCCCTGGACAGGGGCCCAAGCATCCTGAGGCTTCTCTCGGGCAGAACATGTTCTCAGCAAGTTGGATCCCACCGGGGCCTTCCAACATGTCACGTCAATACTACCTGAAGGAGGACAGCTCTGAGCCCCCCAGGGGTCCTGGGAAGGGACTATACTGACCACAGTGTGAGGGAGTGAGAATCCTGGGCAGCCCGGAGGCCCTCGGCGGACAGCTCCCTCACCTCTTCCCCAAGAGCCTGCATGTGCCCAGGGGCCAGTGGAAAGGAGGCAGGCTCCATCCTCGGCCCCAGCCAGCTGGACGTGCTGGAGAGCCAACAGCCTGGGAACAAGAGAGGGACGAGAGTGGCATCCTCAGGCCCTCGGGAGGACAATGCGGAGTCGTGTACCACACGGTCTCCCAGAGGGTCTGCAGAAGGACTGGGTGCCCATCGCCCATAGCCGTGACCCGCTCTGTAATGCACGGTGGTCGGTTTTCTTCTTATCTCTGTCTCACCACCCCTTCCCTCACTGTGCTCCCTGGGATCACCCCCCCAAGGTCAGTGACTCCCCCAAATATTTCCCTCTAGGTCTGCTCCTCGGGGAGCCCAAACCAAAATAGGGTAATCACAGTGCCCTCCACAAACTGTCTCTGAAACCAGAAGAATCCCACCAGGTGTGATGCGTAGGGACGAAAGCGAGCCTGGGAGTCAGAGAACAGGGCTCTCCTCCCAGCTCAGACGTACAATCCATGCAACCTCAGGACACTTCTCTGGGCCTCTGTGGTCCCCGCTGTCAACGGGGAGAGGGAGCCCAGAGAAGCATTCTTTAGATTTGGACCACCTTAGGGAAAATGTTTACAGCTATCCTCCTGCCCTTCGTTTTGTTTTTTTTCTAACGTTCAAAATAAACACGATTTACTTGAGCTCTATGGAGGAGAAAACTCCAACTGCACACTTTATTGAATAGCGATGAGCAAATTTTGGCACTGACTCTCAGTTACTACCACCTTGACAGCTGGATTGTTCCAGAAGTGGCAACGTGGAGACAGCCAGCATACTGCACGTTCATCCTGAAATTAGATCCCAGGGGGCATTGTGATGTGGGCCGGCTGCCCCGGGGTGCAAGCAGAAACCACTGAGAGGTTTGGAGGCATTAGCACATGCCATGGTCACAGCCACCTGGGACATTTACAGGTGAGGGAGGTGGACCTAAGGTCGCTGGGCGGGTCACAGCTGACCAGGGCATCCCAGACCTCACTCTCCATCACATACCTCAAGTCTTACTGGACAAGAAGGTCTCTAAGTCCTTTGCATCTCTCAAGCCTTGGGTTTGCACGCTCCCAGCTAGAAATTCATTATTCCTGCCACCGCGCTGGGATTGGGACCTCACTGCCACACTGGGGTCTGGGTGGGTGCCTCAGATGGCCTTGCATCCAGCACCTCTGCAGATGCTCCGCCCTGGGGTGTGTGCTGAGCAGCCGGGCACAGAAGAGCTGGGGGGGGGGGCGAGGGGGGCGGGGGGGGGCGGCGCCCGCAGTTGTGGGCGGGGTCTGTGCCCTGGGGGTTGCCAAATGAACGGATTTCGGTGATAGCAAGCTGGTGACCAGGTGACAGCTTAGCTCCCTGTCTTTCATCTCCATCCCGCCCCCATTAACGATAGCACCTTCCTCTTTCCATCTGTCCTGTGAACTGGGCTCCACCACCCAGATCCCCCCTCAGGACTGATGATGTGGTCCCGCAGCTGCTGGCAAGGTTGTCCGCCCTCTCGGGGAACCGCCTGGGCTGAAGGGAGCCGCCAAGGTCACGCCCCTTTCCTGGGGCAGCCCAGTTAGAACTACTGGTCAACACGGGGTACAGAGCCCTGGCTCCTAGCACCAACTCGGGACAACTCTGAAGGGCCATCCTAGCCGCAGAGGGGGTTGGCTGAGGCTTGGGACTTCTCCCTCGCTGCTGCCCTCCCCCCCTCCCGCCCGCCCGTGGGTGCCACTGCTGAGAGGGTGCCCTCGGGACCTGCCCGCTCCCGTTCCAGCTCTGAGGCTCCCACCCAGGGTACCCAACCCGCGGGGCCGCCTCTGTCCGTCTTTTCCCTTCTCACGGGAGGAGCCCCCGCCAGCCAAAGGCAGCAGGTGCTTCCACAAGACGTCACCCCACGCCACCCTCATTTGGTGCCGGCTTTTCTCCCTCGCTGGAGGGTTGAGGTGGGCGCTGGTTCACCACCCGTGGGCTTGGAGTGACACTTCCCCACCTTTCCAAAGGCGAGAGTGAACGAGCAGGGCAGTCTGGGGGAGACTGAGACAGCCTTTAATCAGGAAACCTCAGGGAGGGAGGCAGGATGGCTGGTGGCACAGTCCCAGGGAATCCCAGGCCCTCTCCGACTCTTCTCCTCCAGAGCGGGGAGCTCAGCAGCCCGACCTTCCTCAAAAGACAGGCCGGCCGTGGTGTCCAAGGAGGATACTGACCATGGAGAGTGCCGATTACCTGCTCTCACAGCACGTTCCAAATGCTTCTTGGGGACAAGGCTGCGTGGGGCCCTGGGGACTTTCCATCCCTCCAGGAGCCTTGCAGAAGTGAGCGTCGGGTGTCACTGGCCTCATTGGCCCCAGAGCCTCCCCGCCAGCGCCCAGGGCTGCTGGCCGTTTTCTCTGTCTGGCGTGTCCCAGGCACGGCCCTGACCTGGAGGCCTGCTTACCCGGTGGACTCATCCTCCCGTGAGGTCCCCGTGGCGGGCCGCTGGGGGCTAGAGCTGGCCGCGGCTGCGAGGGCTGCAGAGAGTCTGGAGGTGGCGGGAGAGGCTCTGCGAGGCCTGAGGAGGGTGGCGGCGGTCTCTGAGGGGCTGGGGGCCATCGTGGAATGGGCTGAAGCTTCAGTCAGGACAATGGCAGACAAAGAAGGCCTTCTGGTCACTGTCTGGGCCCCAGAGGCTGAGGCTGAAGGCTCTGGAGTAACAGGAGGAAGCCTAGGAGCCCCGGGCGGGGCTGGAGGTAGAGTGGAGGCTCCTGGAGGGATCGAAGGCCCTGGTGAGGGCTGGGAGGCCCCAGGCTCCCCTGGGAATGTGCCCCCAGGCCCCAAAGGGGGTGAGGGTGAGGCCTGGGCTCCTGAGGGGCTCGTGGGTAAAGTCTGTGCGTTAGACAGGTTCGTTCTGAGATGGAGCTGGAGGACGTGGAGCACCGACTTCTGAGGCAGCACTGCTGGGGGGCCTGGGCAGGAGCTACAGTTCACCGGGGCCTCAGCATCTCCACGGGCACTCCGAGCTGCTTTGCCGACCTCCACCGCCTTCCTCTCTGGGCCATCTAGAGAGAGGTGGAGGAAACAAGATGCACTGGGGTTCTCCCGATGGCCGAGGCGGCCCCAGGACGAGCTGCACGGGGAGGGACAGGGGCTGCTCACACCTGGTAAGGACCAGTGGCCCCTGCCTCCAGGGGGAGACCAAAAAGGAACCATGAGCAGAGGGAAGCAGTCCGCCAAAGTCACTCTGCCAGGCCTTGGCTGTGTGACCTTGTATGAGGCGCATAACTCCGCTGGGCTTCTGCGTCCTCATCTGTAAAATGGGCATCCTAACAACTCACAGGGCCACTCTGAGCACTGACTGAATGGTGCGCGCGGGAAATCCCAGCCCAAACCCGGATGTTAACCACGGACTTGGGCTGATAATCCTGTGCCAGTGCGGGAGGCTCACGGATTGTAACAAATGTCCCATCTGGCGTAGGCTGTTGTTAGTTGGGGAGGCTCTGCCTTCACTCACTTTTGCTGGGAACCGAAAACTGCTCAAAAAAAATAAAGTCTATTGAAAAAAATAATTTCTTTTAAGTCTCAGCCTGGAGCCTGGCACATCATAAGGGCTTGATATATGGGAGGAGAACAAGCAGAGGAAGAGGCTAGGCACAGAGAACATGGGGCGGGAAGAAGCACAAGAAGGAAGAGTGTTGGAGAAAGGTATATGATCAGGAAGAGACAGATGCTGTCAAGCCCGGAAAATCTGGAATGGACTGTATTTTAAAAATCACCTATAGGACGGTCACACAACTCTGAACCTGCCTGAAGGCATCGGATTGTATACTTTGAGCATGTGAATTGTACGGGATGTGATCTATACCTCAGGAAAACTGTGACTTTTATGAATTATCAAAAGGAAACAATTCATATTCTAGTGCAACAAAAAGTGCTTTCTCCTTCTATGGCGCTCTTGTTAGGAAGAGGCGCGTGCGAACGTAGCCAAAGCAGTGTGTTCCAGGAGAAGGGGCCCGGCTCTGCACCTCACCTCCCTGGGCCTCTGTTTCCCCATCTGGAAGCAGCAGAGCACAGGGGAAGGAATCAGAGAGACCTGGGCTTGAGCCCAGCGCCGCCAGCTAGAGTGCAGCCTTAAGACAGAAACCTAACATCTCTGAGCCTCCATTTGCCCATCTGCAAAATGGAGATATAATCACAGCTGAGGTAACACGGGTCACACGCTCCACACGCGGCCTGGCATCTTAGCTAACGATTAGTCTCTGGACTAATCAGGGGGAATAATCACCATCGGCTTGCTGAGGAGTCTGTGGCGGGTTAAGTGAAGCAAGATCTACAAAGTGCTCGATGGTTCTCAAAACAGGGCTATAGGGGCTCAGGATGCTTCCAGCCCCCCCAGTCCTGACGGCAGCTCTTCTTCAGCCACGGACCTAAAGAGCGACCCTAAATATGGAGGATCCTCTTCAAAAGGCCAAAGGAGTTAAACAGGTATTTCATCCAAGAGGAAATCCAGGCCACAAATCAGTAGAAAAATTCAATGTCTTCCTGGAAGTTTAAAAAACATAAAGCAGGGGCACCTGGGTGGCTCAGTCGTTAAGCGTGTACCTTCGGCTCAGGTCATGATCCCAGGGTCCTGGGATCGACCCCCGCATCGGGCTCTCTGCTCAGCGGGGAGTCTGCTTCTCCCTCTCCCTCTGCCGCTCCCCCTGCTTGTGCTCGCTCTCTCTCAAATAAATAAAATCTTTTTTAAAAAAGAAGCAAAAAATAGCCACATTTAAGGTACTTTATGGACATGTTAAATCAGAAAAATTCAATTCAAGACACACAGCGTAGAGTTGGTGGGAGTATGGGGAGCCAGCTACATCATGGTGAGTTTCCTGTTTCTCGAGAACCCTGCTCAGATGAGGATCCCCATCTGGTGCCGCGCTGTCCTGCCCCAGGAGGTCCCACACCGCTCCCAAAGCTCCACCACCCAGTACTCCACCTGCTAACCACAGGGCCCCAACCATGTGTCCTCACCACATGCTGGCTGTGTGACCTCGGGCAGAACACATTCCCTCTCTGAGCCCGGGCTTCACACATCCAGCCCTTTACAAGGGCTAGGTTTCTGGGAAGAAGAGTAAAGTGCAGGAAGACACGGAGAAGCTTCAGGACCCAGAGGCCCACTTACCTGGGCAGGAGGGACAGCAGTCCCCGGGGGGCCCAGAGGGGTCGGAGCAGGCCCGAGGGCAGGGGACCTTCTCACAGCTCACCTCTCCCAGCTGGGGAAGCACAAGCACACACATAAGGAAGCCCAGATCGTCTCCCCTCCTGTAACAGTGCCCCTAGGCGCCTCTTCCACCCACAGAAAGATCCTGGGATGGAGGCTGACACAGTAGGGCTGCTTTAAGGAACCCACAAAGAGGGAGGATACCATCAAATCCAAAGGCATTCTAGCTGCTGTTTAAAGTTGGGAAGGCAGGAGGAAGATGGGCTTCTGTGGCCTAAGGGGGCTCAGAGTTTCGCAAAGGGACAAAAGGCAAGCAGCAGTCCCCTGGCCGGGCCGCTCCCGAGTCCCTAGGCCCAGCTTACCTGGCATGTGCACTGGGTACAGGGCTCATCATCCAAGGTGAACACCTGGCCGTTCACCACCTTCCTTCCCTCGTAGTTGCAATCTGCAGGGGTGGAGGAGACCAGGCCGTGAGCCAAGGCCTCCCCGGGAGCCTGGGACACGAGGCAGCGGCTCCCCCACTCACCTCTGCACACCGGGCAGCACTCCCCATCAGGGTGGAAAGGGTAGGTGCAGGTGATGGGGCAGTCCACAGGGGAGCAGGCCACGGAGCCCAGCTGCACGACACAGAAAACACACGAGTCCCTTTGTTCTGGGCTGCCGATGGGACACTCGGGAAGGATGGCCACAGAGCCACTGAGTGCCCATCAGAGCCCCCGTGGTGCAGGGACAGGTTCATTCACTCAGTCAAGAGTCTGTCTTCCTGACAGAACGCAAGCCCCATAGGGCCAGGGGCCTGGCCTTGTTCACGCAGCTCATCTGTCAAAAGGCCCTAGCGGAACAAACCCACGAATTACCCGGGAAAGGTGAGCACCAAATACCAAGGAGAGAGAAGGACCCAGAGCCTGAAGCTCCCCGAAGCATGTGAGTGAACAGGCCCACTCAGAGGCCGAGACGTTCGGCGCTAAGCTCCTCTGATCCCGCAGACCTGTCGCTGGCCACGCTGCGTCCTGACCCACTGTGAGCAAGAAGCTCCACCGGCATCGAACGTTTCCAGCAACACAGGCAGGAAGGCCTTTCTGCCCCATTTTCCCAGTCCTAAACAATACAGACAATCCCATATGCTTTTTCAGACTGAGAGGCAGTCTGGCTTCGGGGCAAAGTGCACCTCTGAGATCACGGCCTCGGGATACCAGGATTCCGTTCTTGGCACTTCTCGCTGTGCCTCATTTTTCTGACCCACAGATGGAAAGGAGAGTGGCTCCCACCTCACAGGATTCTTGCAAAGATTAACTGAGCTCATGCAAGGAAAGGGCCGACAGCCAGACTGGCACACGGTAAGAGCCCCATCGTGTGAGTCTGAGACCGCAGCTCAGAGTCCTGGGCTGGAGTCCCTCACCTGTGCTCAGGGAGCACTCCCACGCTATACTACAAGGAGCCCCCCAGATGCCCTCTGGTCACCCAGAAGCAGAGGACTTTTGCCATGCAGGCTTAAAAACGATTTCTCTGGCCCTGGGTAAAGATTCACCCCAGGCAGGGCTAGAGGGAGCCAACCTTCCCCGTGACCCAGAGTGACCCTTCTCATGGAGGGTTCTGGATTGCGCCTCCAAGGTCCAGGAGCTGGTGTCAGCCCCTGGGGAGTCTCCACAGACAGGGGTCAGGGCTGGGGGGGCCGTACCAGGCAGATGCAGCTCAGACACGGGTCCAGCACGGACGGGAAGGTCTGGTTGTTGTAGAAGATTCTGCCTGTGTAGGTACAGCCTGCCAGAGAGAGCACGGGGGTGAGCGCCCGCCGGGCAGGTGGCCGGTGACCAGGCTCCTGCCAAGGGCTCAGGTCCAAGAGCTTTCTGGGTAGCAAAGGTCAGGCCAATTGCCTCCCCAGGCAGTCACCCCGGGGTTTGGGGAAGGGACAAAACACAGGTCTGGACTGGGTGCCACCTCTTTTTTTTTTTGCCCTGGATTTAGCAGAGGGATCAGAATGTTTCCACTTCCAGGGAAGGGAGTGTTTACTCCTCTGCCCCTCCCTGGGCAGGATCAGGCCAGAGGGGCTGGCCCAGGCACCACTGCCATCCTCTCTGCTCTTTCCCCCCCAGCCACTCAGCCAGTCCCCACCTTCCAGAACATTCCCCCACACCCCTCCCCTGGGCTTCCCCAAGCCCACTGAGGTCTGATCTGAGTGTTGCCACCTTGATGACATTTATCACATCCTAGGAAGCAGAGAGCAGATGATAGGACAACAGGGAAATGTTTTAGAACATCTGTATGTTATTTGTTAGATACAGACACATGTTATAGACCTGGGACATAGAGACAGAGACACTTCACGAAGAGAGATTAGAAAAACAAAACCACGAGGCTAAAAGTGATAAGGGGCCCTTTTTTAATTGTTTTTATTTTTGCTTTCTGTATGTACTTCAGTAAAATGTTACTTCTGAAATCATGGAAAAGCGGAGCATTAATATAAAAAAAGAGCAGCATTGTTATGTTCTCTCACTGTTCCCTGATTGTTTCACAGGGATGGTTCCTTGGTCCCCCCACCCGGGCTGGAAGCTCAGCGTATCTCCACATCTGCTTCTGGCACCCAGACAGGGCCGGCCTTGGGCAGATGGCTTTGTATCTCTGAAGCCTGCGTTCATCATCTGTACCACGGGCTGGCCCCGTGGGGCTGCGGGGATGAAGCCCGTGTGGTCCATCCTTTGCACAGAGGAGCCTGGTGCAGGACAAGCCCAGAAGCAGGGGGAGGGGGGCAGGATCCCGCCAAGAGGAGCAGGGGGTGCTGGGCAGCCCCCCAAGGAGGAAATTACCTGCAGAACAGTCCGGGCAGCACTGTCCAGGGATCCGAATTGGGTGAGGGCAGGAGTCTACGCAGTCTGTCCTCTTGCAGCTCACTGAGCCATCTGCCTGAAGGAAGGAAGAACTTCACCAAGACCCCACCTGTAACACCAGGCCCCGCCTCCCTGCCCCACTCCGCCCTCCCAGCACCCCCCACCCCCAAGAAAGGACAGTGCTGCAAACTGGCCGAGGCTTGTCATGATGGGAGGTGGCGGGTCCCCCACAAAGAGGACCGGCTCCTGGGGAAAGGGGGTGTGAGCCTTCCACGAAAGCCTCCCTATCTAAGGAGAAGGAAGGTCAGAGAGGGGTTTCGGTCTCCGTGGCTTCCTGTCCCTCTCCAGCACCAGCCAAATCTCACCACCACCCCATCCAAATTCTTTCACTCAGCTTTTGCCTGGAACCCTCGCTCACCCCAAACCTACGGAGTACCATAAAATCCTATTTTTATAGAAAACTATTCCACCGGAAATGTCTATTTCAGAAGACAAAAGCACCACATATGGTTTCTTTCTTTCTTTTTTTTTTTTGTCTAAGACTCTGAATGTTGATGAAGCTTTTGTGTAGCTTTCTCATACTATGAGTGCCCTGGATCAGTCATAAAGGGGAAAGGCAGCGGATATGCCCTCCTCCCAACTGTAATTCCGATGAAACGCTTCCAAGTTTTGCAAGGGTCTAAGGCTTTTTCACAAACGGTGCATCCGAGACACTCGAAGGCCGTGCCTCTTACACACCAGTCACCCGGGGGATTAAAATGCAGATTCTGAGTGTGGAGGTCTGAGTAGCCAGACCTCTGGATCTGGAGATTCTGCACGTCCAGCAGGCACCACTGGGGCACGGACCTCATTTTGAGAAAGAAAGCTCTAAGCTCCAATGGACGAAAGACTCTTCTAAAGCAGAAAGGAAAGCCAGCGTGTACTTCAACAATGAGCTGTAACCAGTGTTTCCTGGTAAGCGGCTGTATTTGCATCTGGGCCCATCTGACTCTAAGACCCGCGCACCGTCTCCTTATCCGTTTCGGATGAGCTGAGGTCACAGATTCAGGTCATGAAGGAAAAACCCTGCAGTGTCGCAGGAAAGGCCCGAACCACGGAGCCTCAGGTCACCCCACTCCTTCAGTTATCCGTGCCCAGGGAAATTCTACCCTTGGGACCCCTGACTCCTCCCAAGCAGCAGGTCACACCCCCTTCTGTACAAATGGAAGCTGCCGGCATAGGAGGGAGAAGGAGGGCAGGCTGAGGTGGCCCAGCTTCGGGCGCAGCAGGGAGGCCTGGCCAGGAGGGCCCGGTCAGGGCCGAGGGGTCTGCTCGGGGTGAGGCAGGGACAGCCGGAGCGGGGAGCAGCTGAAGGCGTGCAGGTTGCCATTCACCTGGCAGATGCATAACTCACAGGGGTCACCGGGAGACCAGATCTGTCCGATCGGAAACTCAACCCCGTTGTCGTCCAGAGAGCAGCCTGGCCAGGGGACAGTGAGGGAGAAAGCGCGGGTGGGCACAAGGGCCGAGGAGGGCCCTGAACGCCTGCCCAACCTACAGCGTGCCTGCCACCCAAGGACAGCCGCCTCGGCTCACTCCCACCACAGAGGGTCCCGCAGAGCGTCCATCGCCCCACCTGCTGGGCCCAGGGGCTGCCTGCAGCTGCCGATCCAGCTCCAACATTTAGGGACTTTTCCCCCCAGACACGTGCCCGGTCCACACAGGCAGCTCACGCAAACAGATGCTTACCTCAGAGCCCGTAAATGCGCACTTACACACAGTCGCACAAACACGCACCCTCCCAGAGACATACGGGAGCAGATGCCGCTCCCACACACACAGACACGCTTCCAGAAACACACACAGGGTCTCAGCAGGTGAAGCGCCGCCGCCCTCCTGGAGGGCATCCAGGCCCCAGGTGGGGCAGAGGCCGGCATGCAGGGCTGGGGGCCCTCACCTGTCATGGGTGTGGGCTCCCGGCAGGCGAAACAGCACTGTCCAGGGCCCAGCCACCAGTCCTCTCGGGGGCAGTCCAGGTCTGGACATGGTGTGAAGGAACATTCTACCTCCCCATTCTGGAAGAGAACCAAGGGCACAGGCCAGTGAGGGCAGCTCCCCAGCCTCGGGCCGTCTGAAAGCTAAAGAGGAGGCTGGCAAGCGGCTGTCACCCTCCTAAAAGTGACAAAGAATCTGTGGGGGGTGGGGGGAGGAGTAGGAGGAGGGGGGGTGGGGTGATGTGGGGGAGGGGGGCAGAAGTAGCGGGGAAAGGCTGGGAGCGTGTTCTGGGATGTCCCGGCTGTTGGGCTGGGGGTCCCTGCCTTCCCAGGCTGCAGCCCCAGCCCCACTTCCCCTCACTTCAGCAACAGCCTCCTGCTCTCCCTCCAGTCTGCCCTCACTCCGCGGCCAGAGAAAGTTCTCGTGCACCAGTGGGATCGCACGGCTCCAAACCTAAAACCCATCAGCAGCTCTGCCAAGCCCAGAGCCCTCAGCCTGGCCGGCAAAGCCCTTCATGACTGAGTCTGAGGTAGAGGCTATGGGGCCCCCTCCTCCCCAAGACCCCTTCCCCTAAGTACTGCCCTTGGCTGACAGGGGATGGGCCCTCCATGTACCTGGACGGTTCCTTCTCCCCCCACTCCGCTCTCCGGGAGCAGAGAGAACATACACAACTGACTGATGCCCAGCTCCCTGGCCTCTGGGCACAGCCATCTCTGCCATGCAACTCACTCCAGAGCTCCCTGTGGGATCAGCCTGAGACCCCGTTGTCCCCTGCCTATCCCGCTTCCCTGGCTGGCTTCTCCTGAGAATCTTCGGAAAATCACTTACAGGCCCCAGGCCCTGCTTCTCGGACCCCAACCCAAGCACCATCCCTGTCTGCAGCGTCTTCTCCTGCCTGACTCGTCTCCCACATTCTGCGCCCCAACCAGAAGGGACACCTTCAGGCCCTGACAACAGGCCACACGCTCTCACCTCCTGCCATCTGCTCATGCCAGGCACCTGCTCTGCCTCGGATCCTCTTCTAATAAATCCCTCACCCCTCAGATCTCGACTTAGCACCTCTCCCTCCAAGAAGCCTTCCCCTCCAGTCAGGAGCCCTAGTCACCTGCCCATGGCCCACCTAGGCTGTGGGCCCCCTGAAAGAGGGGACTGGGGCTGTCCTGTGCTTAGCTGTGTCCCCAGCACTCAGCATTGCTCCAGGCATACAGTAGGTGCTCTATAAATAGTTCTGCTGAAGGGTGAACTTCATGGAGACTGTGGGTAGCCCTTGGTGAATGCAGGTCCCCATAATGCCTTTGCTGCCTCAGTGTCCCTTCTGCTGCATGGCAGCTCCTATTCTTCTGGTCAAGGCATGCCAGCGAAGGCCTGTGCCCGGCCTCTCTCCTGCACCCACCTACCTGGCAGACACAGGTGGTGCACTCGTCACCACCCCCACTGAACACAGCCCCGTCTGCGTACCACCGGCCGTGGAAATAGCATCTCACTGCAGGGGAGAAAGGGAGAGGCAGCTCAAGGTCTTTGGGCTGGGGCAGCTAGAGAGAAAGGGGAACAGTGGGTCGGGGGGGCCTTGGGGAAGCTAACACACTCCCACCATGCTCCACAGCATGCACCACGCTCAGGGAGCCAACCATTCCCCTCCAAACCCTGACACAAACTAAGCTGCTGCTTAAAAACTGATGGAGAATGAACCACATGTAAACTAAGATCCCTAACCAAAAAGGGAGGGGACTTCCTGAATCACTAAAAAGTAAGAGAAAAGCAGAAATGAAAAGAGACTGCCCCAGGGGTTCCTGGGTGGCTCAGTTGGTTAAGCATCTGCCTTCAGCTCAGGTCATGATCCCAGCGTCCTGGGATCAAGTCCCGCCTTGGGCTCCCTGCTCAGCAGGGAGCCTGCTTCTCCCTCTGCCCCTCCCCCTGCTTGTGCTCTCTCTCTCTCTCTCTCAAATAAATAAATAAAATCTTAAAAAAAAAAAAAAAAAAGGAAAGAAAGAAAGAAAAAAGAAAAGAGACTGCCCCGGATGCCTAAGACAAGGTCTGGCGCCGAAGCCATCCCCTGGAGACCAGGAGAAGTCAGTGAAAACCTCTAATCCGAGGATCCCCCCACCGAAACAGTCCGCAAGCTAGCCCAGGCCCACCTGGCTTAGTCAGACTGCCCTGGGTTCAAATCCCAGCTATGCAACTCAGTGGGGAGGGATTTGAGGCAACATCCTTAATTTCTCTAAACCTCAGTCTTCCCATCTGTAGAATAGGGTTGATAAGAGCTGATAACGGTTACTACTTCATAGGCAGTATATTAACTATTCAAAAATGTCTTAGCTAAAAATAACATTTAAAAGTTAAGAAAAACATTTTTTTAAAGAACACCAGCTTTGCAAGCAGGTAGGCTTGATTTCAAGTTCTGTTCTTGTATTAACTGGTTGTACGTCTCTGGGCAGTGACGACCTCAGTGAGCCTCGGTTTTGTCACCTATACAATGGGGCTCTGAATAGTACTCCCTCGAGGCTGAGCCACATGGATTCAATGAGATCAAGGGCTGGCAAGCAACAGCACAGAGCCGTCAGGGAACATTCGTGATGATGATGAGGTCATCCCAGGAAAAGAGAACCACATTTTTAACAAAGGACCAACTCATTAGTGGGGAAGGGGAGACGCCCTCCCAGCCTCAAGACAGAGCCATGCCAAGGGTGGACTCACACCCCTTCCTGGCTGTGTTGAAGGCGCCTCCTGGGGCGGGGAGCCCTATCTAGCATCCAAACCACTGTGCACAGAGTAGGTGCTCAATTAAACTGGTACTTTGAAATGCTCCACTTGATCTGAGTTTCTTTTTTTTTTTTTTTTTATTTGAGAGAGAGAGAATGAGAGACAGAGAGCATGAGAGGGGGGAGGGTCAGAGGGAGAAGCAGACTCCCCGCCGAGCAGGGAGCCCGATGCGGGACTCGATCCCGGGACTCCAGGATCATGACCTGAGCCGAAGGCAGTCGCTTAACCAACTGAGCCACCCAGGCGCCCTTGATCTGAGTTTCTAAAGCAAAAATCAATCCCTATCCTCTGCTCCGCTCACCCTGCTCCCAAAAACACACAAAAGAGCTAAACTACCCCCCACCCGACCCCCAAAGAGTCACTGACCTGGAACACAAGTACAGCAATCTGACTTCAGGGAGGTCTGACAGGGGCCGGGAGGACACTCGGGGGAGATGCAGGACACATTTCCGGCCTGACGAGGGGAGAGATGGTGCTGGGTGGGGGCAGAGGGGAGGAGGAGAACCAGGCCCTCCCGCCTCTCAGCTCATTCCCTATTTCAAGCCACTCCTCAGGTCTCCTGCCCAACCCCAAAGCCTCCTAAAGGAAGCCATCCAAGATCTCTGAATGCCACCACGGTGACAACAAGGACAGTGTGCAGGGACCCAGGTCCTGGTGTTTACTACGGTGTGCTGAGAACATCCTCCCACAGCATACAGAAGCTCTGGAAGGATGCCGGGGAGAGGCGAACAGAGGTTACTCCACCGGAGACACCTTCCTGTGCATCTGAGTTTTGAACCAGGTGACTCTATTGGCTAGTCAAAGAATTAACTTTAAAACTAAATTTCAAAATTTGAAATTAAGGCAAAAAAAAAACCCACAAAAAAACAAAAAAACAAAAACCCTCCTCTGGAGCCAGCCAGAGCTGAGAAGCAGTGTTTGCTCCTCCACTGAGTCATGTGACTTTGGCCAATGTACGTCAGCCCGCTAAGCCTCAGTCTCCCTATCTGTGAGGAGCTGGAAACGGCGCCTCCATTGGGGCTTGCGGAGGATTCGTGCCACATGACCCACGAAAGTGCTCGGCCGCTGCATATGCGTGGCACCCGAGGGGGGGCTCGGTAAAGGGTGGTGCTCATCGTCTCCATGCCCCGCCCTCTGCCTTCCATGACGGCTGCCACCCTTCGCCACCAGGCCAGTGATGGTCAGAGGGAGGCAGTGAAGGGTGGGAGGAGGAGCCCAAGCCATGGATACAGAGAGACCTCGCCTCAAAGCCCAGCTCATGCCTCCGTCTTTTCATCTGTAGAACAGGGACAGGAAAGCTGACCCAGACGAGCTGCCAGGAGCCACGGGTGAAGTGACAGAAGAAAAGCCCCAAGCCCCGAGCCTGGTAGCACGGAGTGCTCCTAATCTAATCTGTGGGACAGCACCTGGCCGTGTCCGGAACATAGTAGGTGCTTAGTAACTATTCTTAGAGAAGCAAATTGGCCTACAGCAAAATAATACTCTTAACAAGCTGAGCCTGGTAATAAGCCTCCTCCGTCCCAAATGTGGATACCTTTATTGTGCTGGCAAATATTTTGCCTGGAGGGAAAAACAGCCTCCCTGGTGGGAAGTTTCCGAGGGAGTTCCATCACCTCCCCTTCCTAGACAGATGGACCCTGTTTGCCTGCTGGCTCTTCGCTGCTCAGCACAAGGCTCCTCGAATCCACAGACCCCCACGCCTTTAAATTCGACAGGTTCCGCCCAAAATCCACAACCTGGGAACTGTCCCTCCATTTGACAAGCTCACCTTTAACAAGCTCATCTTTCCCTCCTCCTCTAAAACCCCCAAAGGTTAGGAAAATACCCGCAAGGCTTTGGGGCTCTTGTGATGCTCACCAGGCAGACACACACAGTGCAGTTCTCGTTGGGAGGGGAAAACACGTCCCCTTCAGCTCGGATGACGCCACTGTCAAAACAGCCTTTGAAAGACAAACAGGAGTGGAGGCATCAGACCTCTTCAAAGTAGAGGAAGCTTGAGGTCTCATTACTTTTCCAGGCGTAATGTACCTGGAACTTTCTCTCACCAGCCAGGACGCCCCAGGCATGGCAGATCCAGGTACCCAGGACTGTGCTGTCCTAGGACCCCTGGAGAAGTAAGCAGGAGACACCCACAGAAGATGGCCCAGGAGGGTTCCATTCATGTCTGTAAACCCCGGACTCTATTGAGAACATGGCATTTTATTCCCATATGGCAAGAAAGGCAGCCAGGCAGCCCTGGGTTCAAAAACCTGGTCTGTCTGTTCAGTTAACCTGAGTGACTTTGGACATGTCACTTAACCTCTACGGACTCAGTTGTCTTTACCGTAAAATGGGAACACTACCACGTGCCCTGCAGGGGCCTTGGAAGGATCCACAGCCTCACACGTCAGGTGCCCAGCCATTCACATTCAGGGCTCAGTATATAGCAGGAACATGGCAAAAGGTCACGATTATCATTAAGAAACCACTACGTCTATTCTCATTCTAACCCTTCAGAAGATGTCTTCACTGCAGCGTCTTATCCCCAGAGCTTCAGAGAACACAGAATTTCAGGCCCCTCCCCAGATCTACGGAATGAGAAGCTGTGTTTTAACAAGATCCCAGGGATCCCCCTGTGGAGTGAGTTTGAGAAGCTCTGTCAAAGGACTCGTGAGGATTTAGGGTCTGTATCCCAACAGCAAGGGGAAACAAGTGAAAAACTGTAAGCAGGTTATGGGAGTAAATTGGAAAGGGGACAGACGAGCGCCTGGGTGGCTCAGTCGTTAAGCGTCTGCCTTCAGCTCAGGTCATGATCCCGGGGTCCTGGGATCGAGCCCCACATCGGGCTCCCTGCTCGGCGGGAAGCCTGCTTCTCCCTCTCCCTCTCCCCCTGCTTGTGTTCCCTCTCTCGCTGTGTCAAATAAATAAATAAAATCTTTAAAAAAAAAAAAAAAAAGGAGCGAGGACAGAATTTACAAAGGATTACTCTCCCGGCTGTAGGAGGAGAGTTGGGGCAGGGTAGGGGGACTGCTGGGTAGATCTGGAGAAACTCACTGAATGAATGAATGAATGAATGAATGAAGCTCAAAAGGATCCCCAGAAGATGAAAAGTTCCCCCTGAGGGATACCACAGCATACACCAGTGGTTCTCAAAGTGTGGTTCCTGGACCAGCAAGAGCAGTATCACCCGGGATCTTGTTAGAAATGCAAACTCCTTGGGGCGCCTGGGTGGCTCAGATGGTTACGCATCTGCCTTCGGCTCAGGTCATGATCCCAGGGTCCTGGGATCAAGCCCCACGTCTGGCTCCTGGCTCGGCAGGGAGCCTGCTTCTCCCTCGCCCTCTGCCTCTCCCCTACTCATGCTCTCGCTCTCTCTCTGTATCTCTCTGTCTCAAATGAATAAATAAAATCTTTAAAAAAAAGAAATGCAAACTCCCAGGCCCTGCCCACACCGGATAAATGAGACCCAGGAATTAACCTCCAAGTGATTCTAATGTCCCCAAAAGTTGGAGAACAGCCTTTCAGCTGCAGAAGGGCTGGGGAAGGGAAGAAGTCGGACCATGTGGGGAACTCACAGCCTTCCCCAGACCAGCTCCCACCTGTACACGATGGGCAGCACCCCCCATCTTTGGAGGGAATCGGGTGAGAACAAGCAGCTTCACACGTCACCTTTTCACAGGTCACCTCCCCGTTCTGGAAGCAGAAGCAGGAGTTCCAGCCATCACAAGGCCCCGGACACCAGACCCGGGCAGCCCCCAGGATCCCTCCCACCTACCTGACACCAGCACTGGGAACACCCAGGCTCTGTCCAGCGGCTCCCTGATTCATACATGGCTCCCAGGTGCCAGCAGGCAGAGAACCCCGGTGCCATCTGTGTGGCTGCTGGGCCCTTGGGCAAGGGCGGGGTCACCTCCTGTAGTCGTGAGGGAGGTCCGAGGGTCCCCAAGAGGGAGGCACCAGGCACGGGGGTGGCCACCAGGGTGGCCAGCAGCCGAGTTGGGGCGGAGGGCAAGGATGTGGGTGGCACAGGGGTGGGAGACAGCAGGCTCGTGGTCCTGACCCCAGGTGGGGGCCCCGGAGCCCTGGAAGGAGGGCTGTGTCCGGGGGAGAGGGCAGGCCGGCCCGCCTCTGGGGGCAGCAGAAGCATCTTGGACGGGTGCTGCAGGGGCTGCAGGATGGCCGATGGGGCCAGCACGGCTTTCGGGAAAGCTGAAACGGAAGACCAGGGGGCTTAAATGCAGCTCCTCCACCACCAGTCACTGGATGTCTCTGGACCAGTTTCTTCATCAGCAAAACGGGTCTAATACCACCAGTTCGACCCAAGACCACGGGGGCTGCAGTGACGATCGCACAAGGGGGATGGAAAAGCACCACAGGAGCAGGCCCAAGTGACAGGTTAGGAGTGGGTCCCCTGCTCCCGCCCCCCCCAGATGTGGCTTCCCAGGAGGGCATGCTGAGGTCGGGATGAAGGAACAGTCTGGGGAAAGCTTGCCGTGGACTAGAAAGAGCATGCTCAGTATTTAGATGACCTTGTACGCATGTTTACGGGCGCACTGCTGACGTATGTCAGAGTGAGCTGACCCCACACTGCCCAAAGTGTCCCTGGGAGCCCAGGCTCCCGGACTCCTGTCACATGCTCCTCTATCATTTGTTTTCCCCTTTTACCATTTGCAAGAAAACAAAAGCGCTAGGGAAACGGTAAAATGACAAGGGAGGATGAGGATAAAAAAGTGGAAGGCGTAAATGAGAAAGTGAAGAGTTGGAAATAACAAGATGAATTGAAAGAGAATGGATGGAAAAGGAAGAAGGCCCAAGGCCGGCAGGGTGCGGGGCCTGGGAGGGCCAGGGGCGGGGCCTGTGTGTGAGGAGGGGCCCGGGAGGGCGGGGCGGGGCCCGAGAGGGTAGGGGTGGAGCCCGGGAGGGCAGGGGCGGGGTCTGGGTGAGCCGGGGGGCGGAGGGGGTGGGGCCTGGGTGGACCGGGGCGGGGCCTAGCGTTGGGTCGGCGCCTGGGTAGGTGAAGGCAGGGCTGGTCGCTCACCTTCACAGGACACGCGATCAGCTCGGAGCCTGAAGCCAGGTCGGCAGGTGCACAGGAAGCTGCCCACGGTGTTATGGCAGGAGTGGTGACAGACTCGCCTCTCCAGCGGCCTCCGACACTCGTTTACATCTGTAGGAGAGCCTCGCTGCCAACAGCTGCCTTGTTGGGGCGATCGACCCCTTCTTCCAACATCCCTAAGCCCAGAAAGCTGGGGAAGTCTCCTTGCCATGTTCTTATAGGGTCTATCCCTGCCTCAGGGTGTGGGACGTGACTCAGACGTCTAGGAGTGGGGCTGAAATCCCTTTGGAAGGTTCATACACCCAGTTGGCATTTAATGGATGCACCAGTGACTCATCCCCCAGCACTACCCAACGATGGTTACGCCCTGGCTGGTGGGGATGAGCCCCGCTGGGAATCTCATCTCCAAACCTTCCACCTTCCCACGTGTGGGTAGGGGATGGTGTGGCTCCTTCTGAAAAAGAGTCTCAAGAAACGTTGCACTGCTCAAGGTAGGCTTTGGGACAAATACCAAACTCTGCCAGAACAAGGTCTGTTTTCAGGCCCATGGGACCCCACCTTCAACCCATGAGCCAAGCTTAAGCCAAACATGCCAATCCCTTTCTGGAAATTTCCGCTAATGGGCTGAGAAAACAGGGGTCTCCTTCTAAACCAGAGGAACCAAGACATAACATGCTTTATTTACCAAGGGGAGGAAAGGCAGCCAAGAAAATGGGTGAGCAGAGAGGAATCCTTGGGGCGTATCTGGGAGAGGGGTGGAAGAGAAACATAACAGGATAAAAGTGGCACGTGGCCAGGAAAAGTCCAAGACAGGGTCTTTCACGAGGAGCCACGCCAACCCCAGGGAAAGGCAGGCTCTGAGCAAAGGCTCAAGTGCTTACAGGCTCCAGGCGGCCAGGAGGTCCAGACCGCTGGCCCTTCCCTGTCCCTGGGCTCGCCCTGCCCATCTTCCTGACGGGCATCCTAAGTATGAAGACGATAGGGTCCCCCCACCTTACCTACACAGGAGTGCCGGTTGCCATGGAGATGGAAGCCGGGTCTACAGGAACACCGGTAGCTGCCTATGCTGTTTTTGCATCTCTGCTGACAGGGGGTCCCGAGGCATTCGTCAGTGTCTGCAAGGGACCAGGGCAAGGCTGCAGCTCATTTCCCCATGGAGTGTCAGAACCGTGTGCTCCCCTCTTCCTCTCCCGTTGCCATCCCCTCCCCCACCCAGGGCCGTGGGAGACCCTCCTAACCCCTCCTTTTCTCACCACCCACATTCAGCCTATCAACGAAGTCCTCTCTGGGTCAGCCCTCTTCTCTCCATCCTTACTGCCCTACCCCAGCCTGGGCCACCTTTGCCTCTGGTCTGGAGAAGAGCAACAGCTTGATGCATCTCCCCTTGCTCCTCCCAAGCCTTGTGCTACAGTGTCCTGGATAATCTGACCAAACATCTGAGCCACTCTCTGCTCCCACAGGCATCGATGCCGCACCACAGCTCACAAGCCCTGGACGGCCTTTCCCACCTTCCCTGTCCCCCACCTTTGTTCTGCCACCTTCCAAATGCACCATGTTCTTGTGGGCCTCCCTCTTTGCCCATGTTCTTTTGTCTGCCTGGGATCCCTGTCCATCTTGTCTGGGGGAAAACTCCTACTCATACCTCAAAACTCAGCTTCTATAGTACCTCCTGTGTCAAAGCTTCCCCATGCCATTGTTTGAAATTGTGAAAAACTGGAAATAATGTATATGTCCATCAATAAGAGAAGAGTTAGTCCACTGTGGGATCGTTGCACTGCAGAGCCCCAGGCAGCAGTTAAAAAAAGCAAGGCCGGTCCATTTACCCTGATGTGGAGAGATCTTCAAGACAGATTGCTGAGAGGAACAAGCAAGCAGAGGCTCAAATCCCAGCTCTAACATGATCTTGGGCAAGTTACTTAATTTCTTTAAGCCTCAGTGTTCCTATCAGGAAAATGGAAATAAATAGTACCAGCCTCACAAGTTCATTACGAGAAAGAAATGAGAAAATGCATGTAAAGTGCTTAGCACGATGCCGGAATCCAGCTCTGCACCTGTTAGCTGCTCATCCTATCTCTGTGAGTGTGTATGTGTGTGTACACGTCGTGGGGATAGGCAGGGAGGACATGCATCAGAGCAATAACCAGGTGCTAGGGTGAGCTGTGTTCCCCCAGATGCACATGTTCAAATCCTAACCCCTCATGTGATGGGATTTCGAGGTGAGGCCTTTGGGCAGTGATTGGGCTTAGATGAGGTCTTGAAGGGGGCTCCCTCATGATGGGAGTAGTGCCCTTATAAGAACAGCCCTCAGAGCTTGCTCTCTCTCTCCATGAGCACATAGCATGGAGACCGTCTGCAAGCCAGGAAGGGCTGTCAGCCGAAAGTGAACGGGCTGGCACCATGACCTCGGGCTTCCCAGCCTCCAGAACCGTGAGAATAAATTGTTGTGTAAATGGCCCAGTCTGTGGGATTTTGTTATAGCAGCCCAAGCAGACTAAGACATCAGGGTTGTTCCCGTGGGAGAGCGGAGCGCAGGAGTAGCAGAGAGGGTCTGGAGGTAGCCATTTTTAAAACTTATTTTACAATTTATGACTATTTCAAACAATAGAAAACAATACCACACTTTCACGGGGGATCTTTTGCCTTATCTGCCTCGCTTCCTTCTGTAAGTAAAAGGCATCTTCAAGGAAGAGGTAATTATGTTACAAGATCTCCCTCATCCTGCTCACTCAGGAGCAGAATCCTTCTCTTCCTGGGGCTCCCCCAGAACTTACCCCTCACCCCAATGTCCTCCTGCCCCTCCCCACCAGATAGGGCAGCCAGGCCGCCAGCAGGGCAGATGGAGTTAATGAAGGCAGTGGGTGAAACACCTCTCCCATGGCCCTCCCTCATCTCCGTGGCCTCCTCCGTCCTGCCCCTGGCCCTCCCCTAGGCCTCTCCTGCCCTATCCCTCCACCCTGCAGAGCCAGCTCAGAGCAGGGGCCCTAGAGTTGGACATGCCAGGATTCAAGCTGACCCCAGCGCTTCCTGCTGGAATGGCCTTGGGTGACCCTCAGTTTCCCCATCAGTAAAGCAGGGAATGATAACAGGATCTGCCTCGGGGGACCGGGAAATGCAGTAATACATGGAGCGCACACACGTTGGGCTGGGCGGGGCCGCCATGCCTTCGACTCCAAGCCCAGCCGCCGCGGCAACGGCATCATCATTACCTGTCCCCGGGGCCACTCACCTTGGCAGCTGTGGCGGTCGGCAGCCAGCTGCATGCCCGGCCCACACTCACACACAAACCCGCCTTCCGTGTTCACGCACTGGCCCTCGCAGGAGGCGCTTAGGCATTCATCGATGTCTGCGAAGAGAGAAAGTATCCTTGCACAGACCACTCTGCACGTTGTTTGCGTACAGGGGAAGAAAAGCGACCCCACAAGGACGCTGTTCCCAAGCAAAGCCTGCCTTCAGCAGGGGGGAAACCACCACCCCCCCCCCGACACACCCCAGGAAGAAAGACCAGGCACCACCAGGAAAGTCATCAGCCATGAGGGAACCACCAGAGAGCAGAGGCCGAGGGGCCAGGCTCCTTTGTGACCCACACAGACCAGAGGACAGAGAGGACGGCTGAGACAGAACCATTTCCAATGGCCCCACCGCAGGGCAACCCTAGCAGGGCAGAGGGGAGTGAGCAGGAAGGCTGATTCAATTCCATTAAGTGCTTATTGAGCACCACCTGTATGCAGCAGATCTGGAGGAGGACCGCTGAGGACACAAATGTGACCAAGACATGGCACAGACTCTCTAACTGGTTACAGTCTGATAACATTAAGAGCCACGCCACATGCCCACGAGGCCGGAGGAACGCCTGGAGGACAGATGGGCAGAGGACCAGGAGGCACTGGGAGGAGAGAGAGCCTGAGGAGCTTCCTCCCACCACCAGGCTGGCCAGAGCTGAGGTTCCTGCTGGGGCAGCGGGAGGCTGGAGCAATGGGTTGAGGCCCGGCTGTGGAGTGCCGAGGAGGCCCTGAGGCTTCTGCCCAGGGTGGGGTGACTAGATCCAAGCAGTCCTTTGGGGAAGTTCAGGACTGTGGGGTGAGGGGCACCACCGAACAGAACTCCCCACCCTGGTTTCACGGCCTCCCTTCTCTAAGAACCACGGCGGCTCTCTAGGACCTACAAGATCTGTGTCTCCCACCCCCCGACCCCATGCCTGCTAGACACCTTCATTCTCCCCACTTGCTCTCCCCACAGCCAGCCCCTTGGGACCACACCCACCGCCTCTAGAAGCCCACCCTGACTAACCCATCCCACTGGGATCCCTCATGGTGGTGCCCCCCCTCCCCCACCTGGGGCTAGCTTTGACAATGTTCTCTGGCTGTCCCCAGTTCCGGTTTGCCTCAGCAACAAGAAGTGTGTGCAGAAAGTGCTCCCCAGGAAGCATTCAGGGGAGGATGAATTGCTTCAGCCTTCCTCTGATGTTGCAATGAGCCCCGAGCACCAAAACTCCTCAGTGAGACCCTTGACCCAATGGTTCTCCCTCTGAGAATAAGGAGAGAGGCTGATGAGAAGCCTCTTTACTGCAGCCTTTACTAGGAGTAGTGAAACCCTGCAGAGAACCTACAGACACGGCCGCAAAAAATTATGCCATAAGGACTAGTCCCCCCCACAATATAAAGTGAGAAAAAGAATAAAAACTCTGCATAAGGTATGAGCCCAATTTATAAAACACACACATATGCACACCTAACACACACACACACACAGGTACACACACTCACAAACACACATCCAGGGAAAAGGGCAGAAGACACAATTTCATTTTAGTAACAAATATCTCTGGGTAGGGACTTTGGGGACATGTTAGTTTTCATCTTCTACCCTTCTTTTACTTCCCAAAAGTTCCAAAATAAGTTATTTTTTACTTTCATGTGTGCAGAAGAAACATTATTTTTACCAAGTCAAAACTCAAAAAAAAAAAACCCAAAAAAACCAAGGGTGGGGGCTTCCTTTCAGCTCTCTGGAAAGATATGCAAGAAACTGGTCCCAGTAGCTGCCTGTGAGGACGGTGACAGACTTTGCCTGTAAGAACGTTTTAGAATCCCAAACACACAGCACTTTTACAAAATAAGTATTGAGGTTGGCTTTCCTCGTCTTTCAAACATCACGATCCCAAGGGAGCCTTCCGCGGTCAACCCACCTGCAGTGCCGGTTATCTGCCCCTCCGTGGGCCCGGCTCCCGGCACCTGGCCAGTTACGGCCCCATCACATGGGACCATGGTTATCCTGACCTGTCTCCCCTCCTCCTGTTCAGAAGCAGGGACCAAGCCACCACGCGTCACCGCAGTCCCTAGCTCAGTGCCTGGTCCATAAGAGGTGCTCATTAGCAGAAGGGGCCCATTTCTTGGGTTTGCCTGCCTCCCTGCCCACGCTCCCAGCAGAGCTCAGCCTCGCTCGGCCTGGCCTGCATCTCTCCGGAGACTGTCCTGGCAGGATGGACAGACGGACGGAGGAGGAGACAGAATTCCCGCCCGCTGCACCCCCCATGGCGCCCAGGTCTCTCACCAGTACACCTGATGCCGACAGCCGTCTCTGTCATGGAGAAGCCCACAGGGCACACTCGGGCCACCTCCTGACAGCCGCCATGATTACAGGTAAGGTCACAGCCGTACTCTCCACAGGGTCCGTGGGCTTCTAAAACAGGCACCACACCCGTGAGCACACCGCACGCCGCAGTGCCCGCCACCCCCACCTCACCGGGGCTCCTCCTAAATCCTGCTGGGAAGGTGGCCCTGGAGGCTTAAATCCAGCTCTGGCACTTACTAGCCAGGTAACCCTGGGCAAGCCACTAACTTCTGTGCCTCAGTTTCCTCATCTGTAAAATGGGGATGAGAAGGCCTACCTAAGTGGGTTGCTGGAAGATGATATTCTAAGTAAGACAAAAGCCCAGTGCCTGGCACATAGTCGCAGCGCCAAAAGAATTCTTCCCATCAGCCATGGCCCAGCCCCGGTTACCTGGGCAGGTGGCTCCTTGCTCTCCATCCTGGCAGGAGCAGACGTTGGGAGCAATGCAGATGCCACTCCCACAGCCAAAGGAGCAGAGGGCTGAGAGGAGAAATGCAGGTGAGGGAGTGGGGGCCCTACTCAGGCCAGCCCAGGGAGCCAGCGCCCTGCTGGGGAGGGTGTCTGGGGCATGGGAACAGGCACTTACGCAGGGTGCAGTGCCCGCTGCCCACGGAGGGGGCCCAGCCAGGGCAGCAGCCACTCCCGAAGCCCGAGAGGCAGACGTGGGGGCCCAGCCGGCGTCTAGGAGAGAGGAGAGAGCACTTGCCACATTTCTGTTCTGGGTGAGGGATTGGCCTGCCGTGCAGTGAAAGCCTCCCAGCCAGTCAGTAAGTCAGTCAACAAACAGTTCTTAAAACCCACCAGAGGGGCAGTGGGAAGTTCCCAAAGAAAAATGACCCAGTCTCTCCTGGAGGCAGGACAAAGACAAAGGTGTGAGAGAACAGACAGCAGCCTCCTACAGAGACCTGCCATGTGAACACGGAGCAGAGTGGCTGGGGGAAGGGGGGCGGGGCAGCCTCCTACAGGGACCTGCCACACGAACACGGAGCACAGTGGCTGGGGGGGTGGGGTGCTCAGAGGGGCCTCAGCACTGAGGGGGAAAGATAGCAATAGATGAAGAGCCCCAGGCATGGCTGCCATAGGGCCTTTGCACTTGCAGTTCCCTCTATCAGGAAGGTTCTTGCTCAGAAATGTACCCAGCTCACTCCCTCCTTTACCCAGGTCTCTTCTCTGCTCATGCACCTTCGCAGAGAGATCCATCTTACCCATCCTTATCTTGCTTTATTCTTCTTAACACTTACTTCCTGGGACCTTAAATTACTTATCAATTCGTTGATTCGTTCATTGTCTGTCTCCCCTCTCATTCTCTGAGGAGCAGGGCTTCATCCTTTTTGTTTCCCTCAGTGTCCAGAGCAATGCCTGGCACATAGCAGGTGCTCACTAAATGGCTGTTGAGGGAAAGGTTGAGAAAGGAAGCCAGCAGAAAAAGGAGGAGGGCAGCCCCAGGGGAGCCAGAGATGTCATTCCCCAGGTGTGGGTGCCAGTAAAGGGGAGCCAGAGTGCCCAACACTGGGTGATGCATGGCAAAAGAGCCATGAACGAGCCACTTTCCCCTCCCCCAGGGGCGCTGGGCAGACAAAGACCCAGGTGATAACAAAACAATGTAACCAGTGCCCCACAATGGGACAGGCTTTGGAGTCCCGAGGAGGGTCAGGGGAGGTTTCCTGGAAGGCCAGGATCTGGGCTGAGACAGGCAAGAGAAGGGGCAAGCTGTGGGAGTGGAGAAGGGGAGGGAGCAGCAGGTGCACTGCCCAGCCGGGGTCGGAGGCGGTGACTGGAACTGGTCCTGTGATGGGCTGGGCAGAGTGATGGAGTCCAGCCCGCTCTTAACTGGGAATCCTGGCACCACGGAAGAGGGACAAGAAAACCCTCCCCAACTGTGCGCTCCCCCTGCTGGGAATATCCTGCCGGTCAGGCAGTGTACGGAGCACCCCCCAGGTGCCAGGGGCGGCAGCAGGCACTGGGGGACAAGGATGGCGAAGGCAGACTCGCTCCACTCAGGGAGAAGAGCTGTCAAATGTGACAAGTACTCTGGGAAGGAGAACTGCGGGCACGTGGCAGCACAGAAACACCTGCAGCAAACTGTGCCTGGAGCCTCAAAGAGACGTTTCCTTCTCTGAAGTCATCACAGAAGAAGCAAGGAAGCGGGGCCCTGGGGGTGGGAGGTGCCGGCGGCCGCGCTGTGTCCCCACCGCCCCGGCTAGAGCCATTATGGCGGCAGCCTGGGAAAGCGGAGCCCGCAGCTCCTTCTCAGACGGGGCTCCGGAAGGATGCCCCGGAGGCTGGTGGAGCCGCACCCTCGGGTGGGCGGGGGCCGAGCGCCCCAAGGAGCCTCCTCGGGCGGGCGCTGACGGGGAGACAGGTGGCTGGAAGGCTCCGAAGCGCCGCGGAGCCGGGCCCATCTGGGCAGGAACTGGCGGTGGCTGCGGAACACACGCGCGAGCTGCGAGCCCGGCGGGGCCGCCCCCCTGCGCGCCCCCCGAGGCGGTGGCCGCGGGCCAGGCCGCGCGCTGACACCGTGTTCCCTCGCACGGAGCATCACGCACACACGCGCTCGCGGCCCGCGGCGGCCCGGCCTTCGCCGGGAGGAGACTCGAGGGGAGGGTGGCATCCATCGGGAGAGAGCAAAGGGGCAAACACCCCGCCCCCGCCCGCGCGCACACACAGGCGGAAAGCGAAACGTAACCCAGGGAGAGCCCGGCGGTTCCAAGGTCCACGGCGTGCGTGCAGCCTGGACGCAGGGGAAGCCCCCAGCCCCGGAGCGGCCGCGCCGGCCGGGGAGGCCCGTTCGCCAGCGACGGCCAGCCGCTCCGGAGACCAGGTGGCACGTCCCGGGCTGCCCTCGCCAGGGGTCCACGCCCCAGGGCAGACTCAGAGGGGCTCACGCAGCGCCTGGATCTCCAGCCCCCCCCGCCACCGGTCCTTGCCAGGACAGCTCCCGCCCAGAGCACAGGCTGCTGTCTCTTTGTCCGGACCCCCTGGGCTGCGCCCGCGCGCGGACAGCGCCCCGGAGGGGAGCCCCGGCCGGCGGCTGCCGGCGACTCCCGGGAGCCCCTCTGCCCCACGCCGGGTGCGCCCCCGCGACGGGACAGGGGAGGGGCGCGAGGCGCTTACCTCTCGGCCGCGAAATGCCCGGGCGGCTTCCTCCCGGTGTAGCCGCGGGCCGGGGCCCCCGGCAGGAGGAGCGCGACGCAGGCGGCCCGGAGGAGCAGTCCGGCCCACATGACCGGCGGCGGCGGGTCCCCCCGGCTTGGCTGGGCTCTGGCGCGGCGCGCGGGGGAGGGGGCTGCCGGCCCTCGCCCCTCCTCCTGGCGCCGCGGGGAGCGAACCAGCGAGCCCCGAGCTGGCACGCGGAGCGGAGCAGGGGGGCTGGGGACTCCGAGAGGAGGGGCCGGGGGCCGCGAGGAGACGCGGCGGACGGCTGGGGGGGGTCTCTGGCACCTCGGAGCGAAACACACAAAAGGTAGCGCCGCCCGCCGGCCGGTGGCCTCTTGGGGAGGCGCGGAGCCCGGGGCGGGGGCAAAGATCAGGGACCCCTGGGGGCGGGGTTTCAGCCTCGGCCCACGCCCCCTGCCCGGGTTTGGGAGTCGGCTTCCTGCGAAGGGGTGTGGGCGTCAGACTGAGGCCGGGGGAGGAAGGAGACTGCCGGAGCAAGGCTGGTGCTGGAGGCTGTGCGCCCGGGGAATTGCTGGTCTCGGTGGAGCCGGAGTTGCCAGCGTTGTCCCGAGAAGGTGGGACGCTGGGTCATTTCGTTGCTGGGCAGTTCTAGGCTGGCTCTCCGCCTGCCAGCAGCAGGTCTGCACACTGGTCCTGGGTGTGCGGGTCAGTGGATCCACCCCTGGCCAGGGGGCACTAGAGGGTCTTGAACCTAGAGGCTCCTCTTTGCCCCCTTCTGCAGCTGCCCCAGGTCACAATCAGAGACTGGGAGGCGGGCAAGTGGTGAGCAGGTGGAGGAAAATCGGGATCATCCAGTGGGAGGAGGCGGGAAGGATGACCCTCTGCCTTGTGTAGGAGTCCTCCCTAGGCACCCAGATCCTTGCTTAAACACTTCCAAGGATAAGGAACTCACTACCTGTCAAAAGGCAGCCCAAGCCAGTTTTGAAAAACTACATTTGTCAGCAAGTGCTTTTATTTCTCAGCTAAATAACCCCAGTTCCTTTGGTTCTGCCTCTGCAGCTGCCCTCCCACTGGCTACCTTAGGCTGTCACTGAGCTCCTTTACACTGGTGACCACAAATGACCATGGGGTGCCAACAATGGTCTGTCTGGACTCTAGCTTCCTTCCTTCCAGATACCATACTTTTATTAACACAGCCTAATAGGACTTGGTTTTTCTGGCAAACGCATGATGCTGGTGGTTCATAACAGTCTCCACTGGAGGTGTTTCTGGCTGTCACCCTTTTATGTTGCTACTGTTGTTTCCTAAACACAAGCAGCTTACTAAGGCAATCTCCCTACCTGAACCTGTGTGCTTGAGCTTTCCCAGACGTTCAGATTTAGGCCCACTATCTCACCTTGTTAGTCTTGGTCCATCTTCTAATTTAAGCAATACATCCTCAGCAAGTAGATCACCAAAATACTCTGTATCATGAGTGCAACTTTCATACGTATGTCCATCCTGAGTCCTAAGGACGCTCAGGCTCCTAAAGAATCTTTCTTTTATGCCTTAAACATACAAAGGCTCACTTTCTCCCTGCGCTCCTCATGCTGAATTCCTCACTGTTACTTAAAAGGTGTTTCAAGGGGCACCTGGGTGGCTCAGTCGGCTGGGCGTCTGCCTTCAGCTTGGGTCATGATCCCAGGGTCCTGGGATCGAGCCCCGCGTTGGGCTCCCTGCTCAGTGGAGCGTCTGCTTCTCTCTCTCCCTCTGCCTGCTACTCTGCCTACTTGAGCTCTATCTCTGTCAAATAAATAAATATTAAAAAAAAAAAAAAAGTGTTTCGGTGTTTGGGCACCTGGGTGGCTCGGTGGGTTAAGCGTTTGCCTTCAGCTCAGGTCATGATCCCAGGGTCCTGGGATTGAGCCCCGCATCGGGCTCCCAGCTCAGTGGGGAACCTGTTTCTCCCTCTCCTCCCCAGCTTGTGCGCTCTCTCTCTCTCTCTGCCAAATGAATAAATAAAATCTTTATCCAAAAAAAAGTGTTTCCGTGTCCACATTGTCGAGAATCTAGCCTTGATTTATTCAAGAATAGGGATAAACACAAAGCCCTTCCTTCACTTGAGCCCACAAAACCTACACCACTGCCCTTTATCTTTGCTACCTAGGCCACCACTCAATGTCAAACAGGTGCTCCTTCCTGATACTAGAAGCCCCCCACAAATGCTCAACACAATTACGCTGGACAAAAATTCCTTTTTACACACCTGTCCCTCCTCATGGCAATCCTCTCCCACACTCCGGCACACCCCGCCTACCTCCTCCCTGAACTCCGCTACTCTCCCCCCCCCCCCCCCCAACAACCCCATCCCCGCCTCAGGCTCACCGGGAACTACGGCAGGGTTTGCTCCAGACTGGTCAGTGAGCAGCGGGCATAGCTGAGATGCAACTTTGTCCTTGAAGAAAATCCTCATTTTCCCTCCAAACTCAGGATATTTAAGACTTAGCAAATTCATACTGGTGAATTTGAAAAGAGACACCTCTCTAAATAGCCCCTGGCATTTCCTTCCTTCCCCTAATGGTTCCTTTTGACTTAATGGCATTCACCTTGCTCCTCTTAGAATGTTTGCTTCTTTCCCTTGGTGTTTGCTCCTTTTTGCCTTTTGTTAGACCTTGAGGCTTCTCAAAGTTTGAGCTCTGAGAGATTCTAACTTAATATTGTTCATCTTCAAGGACTGGTTTATCCCCTGGTTACAGCTCCTCCGTGTTTCCTCCCCACTTCTGTGGCCTGTGGCTTCTCCGTAACAAAAGGGACCCTCCACTGAGGGTGGAGGATCCAAGTTGTTGTTGGCTGCAAAAAGGCAGCCTCTGGCTTGTGACCCTTCCAAATGGTCATGTGATGAGTCAGTGTTTCTATTATTCTCCCAAAGGTCCATTCGTGCAGAGGCCTGGAGTGAGTGGCTCATCAGCGCCTACATGGAAAGGAGCCATTCCAGCTGGCTGCAGCAAAGCTCCAAGGGCAACCTTTCACCCCTGGAGAGGTGATTAATGGTTTTTAAGAGGGGATGTGGGAGTGTGGCAGCAGAATGTCAGTTTCCAAAGGACTGCTAGAATTCAATCCTGAGTGAATATACCCAAGATTATAGAAAACAAAAAAACTGCAAGGACTCCAAGGCTCCCAAAGTCAAGCCTGAAGCCACTGGTAATAACCTTCTACTCCATGCAGCAGGTCTCCGTGGTGCAGGTCAGACCACGAAAAAGCACCAGAATATTCATCCCACCACCTTCTCTTTCTGATCTTAGCACCTTATAGGCAATCCTCCATCCAGGATTAACATTTTAAAACGATCACCATCTGGAGACCGTTGCTTGCTTGCCCCATTAAAGCTCGTCTCTGGCATGGGGGCAGGCCTTTTCAATTCAAACCATGACTTGAAGAATTCAAATCACAGTGTTGAGTTTCAAGTTCAAACTGTGGTTTTTGAGAGATGCTGATGATTTTTTCCCTTTAGGACCCTTATCCCCCACCCTCAGAAATCCCAGAAGAAGAAGGGGAAAAGAACAGTAATGAAACACAAGGAATGCCTCCAAGGAAGGAAACGGACCCCAGAAGACCCCCAAAGTAGAGATGCTTCCTTGCCCTTTCTCTTTTAAGCTAGAATCTCTCAAAACCACAGTTTTCCTGACACTGTGTCAAAGGCTGGTCTTGAAGGCGCCTGCCAATATGCCTAGGATCAACCCTACTCCCCACTGTTGGGACAGAGCAGCCTTTATTCCCACTGGATCACTGGTGGAAATGTGGGCCCAGGCACTCTGACCCACTGAGCTGAAAGAAGACAGGCTCTGTTTGCTGCACAGAAGGGTGAACCCCAAATGTGTCCTACTCCTGAATTTTCAAACCAAAGGCGCCAAAGGTTTACTTGATTAAACCAGAGGAAATAAAATCAGCCTCCAAAGGGCATGTGCCAACAGGAAGCTGGGAGGTGCATGAGGAGCCACTTGCCCCGGCCAAGGAGCAGCGCCCCGGGGGCTAGCTGGCCGGGCGCTGTGCACACATCTAAAATGAGATCAGCAAAGGCAGCCCAAGCGACTCCCAGGCTCAGCAGGTTACTAACAGAGACAACTGGGAATCACATGGTGGCTAGAGAGTCAAGAGCACCCAAAGACCACTGAATTTTGAAAACCTGACACCCGTTATCCTTGGGATCCCACCAAAAATGACCGCATGGCAAAGGAAAGACACAGAGCCCATTTCACTATTCGAGAGGAGCTGTGGCAGCAGCCGCTGCCCTAAGGAGGGAGACAACTGTGCCTGGACTGGGCGTCGTGTGACTGGGATGCTGGGAAGCTGAGGAGCAGGAAGGAAAGCGGAGGCAAATGGATCTTTCTTCTTAGATTCTACTTTATTTGGTAAAACTCAGAAACTAACAACCAATTCACGGCCCCCCACCTCTTTCCCTCTGAAGAAGGCAGCTCCCCAGAGATAAAAAGGCTATGGCGGCTTGGGTATCACCCACCATCTCCAGGTTTCAGACTCGGGCAGCTCATGGCCTGGTGGTCAGGCCTCCAGACCCAAAGCTCTCAGGCAACAGAGAAAGCAAAAGGAAGCTCTCACTTCAGAGACAATGAACCCATCCCGCCCCTCTTCCCCCCCTACCCACAGCATCCCCGCACCCCCAACCTAAATAAAAAGATAGCAGAGGACAACGCATGAGTGTGAGACACACGCACGTGCGCGCGACACACACACACACACACACACACACACAGCACACGCACAGAGCTTCCTTTCAGCCCAAGAGCTGCAAAATCCCTCCCTGGAAGGAGGACAACTGGCAACACCAATCAATCCTTGGTGTCCAAAGTGATGGTTGGAATCCTCTGGGACTGGTAAAAATCCAGGGAGAAAATATTCCACCTTCACCCCATTCCCAGGTCTCCAGTGAACTGGTTTTAGTTCAAAGAAATCCCCATTTCCACACAGGTAGACTGTGGCTTCTGGGACAGCTGGCTTAGGGAAAGGCTTCCCACAGCTGAGAAGACAATGGTGGGGGAGGGGAGCAGGGCAGGAGAGCAAAGCCTTCGGGGAGGGCCTGGGAAAGGGGCTCCCAGCCCTGGGCTAATGGATCCGCGTCAGCTCCTCCACAACCTTGATCAGGTCATCTGCCGTGGCCTCTCGCTTCATCCCGCTGCCATCATCATACTGCAAGGAGGAAAGGGGAGGGCTGTGAGGGCCACAAGGGCACTCTCCTTCGCGGGGGGAAGGGGACAATCACAGCAAGAGGGCACCTGGCCCCACTGCTGCCATGGCAAGGAGGAAGGTCTCATCAGAAACCCACACCCCTCGGGCACCTGGGTGGCTCAGATGGTTAAGCGTCTGCCTTCGGCTCAGGTCATGATCCCAGGGTCCTGGGATCGAGTCCCACATCGGGCTCCCTGCTCCTTGGGAGCCTGCTTCTCCCTCTGCCTCTCTCTCTCTGTCTCTCATGAATAAATAAATAAAAAAAAAAAATCTTTAGAAACCCACACCCCTCTCCTGAAAGCCACAAGTCAGCAAGGTCTACTGATGGCAAAGCTGGTTTGGAGGCCACCATCTGGCATACATCTCTCCCCTTCCAGGATGTTCCCCAGAGGCACCATCTCCAGGGAACAACACCCCAAAACTCCACACTGTGGAAACTTCTCTGCCCTGCAGAATCCTGACCTGATCCCTGTGCCTCCAGTCTGGGTTGCCAGAGATCCCTCACATGCCCGAACACGCCCTCGCTGCTGCAGCGGGGGGGGGGGGGGGGGGTTGTTCCTAGTACTGTGCCATGCCCCTCAGCTACATCCCCTGCCCTCAGACTCCACTTTCCCATGGGGGAAGGGCCATCTGCACTTGGGGATCGAGGGGGCGGCACCCGGCACTCCGACGCTCTCCAGCACGCCCGGCCCTGCCATGGATTTGGGTCACAGGCCCAGGGCCAAACATCGCACAGCTCACCTGCAGGTTTGCCACAACCTCCTGCATCTTGGGCCGGCTGATGTCCAGGAAACTCTCGATCAAGTCTCCATCGATGAAGCCCGTGGCTGGTTCTGTCTTTCGCTCAGTATGAAAAGATCTCCAGGTGGACAGGTGAGTTAAGGAATGTGCGGTATCTGCAAACAGCCTTACTCTCGGTCACCCCCACCTCTGCACAGACCACAGTCTAAAGCAATCATCAGGGGCACCTGGGTGGCTCAGTCGTTAAGCATCTGCCTTCGGCTCAGGTCATGATCCCAAGGTCCTGGGATCAAGCCCCACATCGGGCTCCCTGCTCCATGGGAAGCCTGCTTCTCCCTCTTCCACTCCCCCTGCTTGTGTTCCCTCACTGTGTCTCTCTCTGTCAAATAAATCAAATCTTTAAAAAAAAAAAATAAAGCAATCAATCATCAGGATGAGAACAGGAAACATTTTCAACTAAAAATCACATTGCTTTTTAGACAGCTTTGGGACTGAAAGACATTAGGCAGAATTATTACCCAATCTAATGATTTTCAACTGGGGTGATCTTCAAGACAATGTTTTTAAAACTACAGATCAGGGGGCGCCTGGGTGGCTCAGTCGTTAAGAGTCTGCCTTCGGCTCAGGTCATGATCCCAGGGTCCTGGGATCGAGCCCCACATCGGGCTCCCCGCTCGGGAAAGCGGCGCGGGGCGGGACGAGCTTGCGGCACCTCTGCCAGTCAACTCCGAGGCGGCGTCCAGCTGCTCGCCCCTGTCCCTCGGAATGCTGCTGAGGGAAGGGGCCCGCGTGGCAGGGCACCCTGCACCTGCTTCTCCCTCTCCCACTCTCCCTGCTTGTGTTCCCTTTCTTGCTGTATCTCTCTCTGTCAAATAAATAAAATCTTTAAAAAAAAAAAACAAAAAACAAAAACTACAGATCAGACCCTCCTTATTAGCGCAGAGCCTGGACGTATATGGACATTTTCTACAAGTGCTCCAGGTAGTCAGATGTGCATGCCTAGGAAGAACCATGCTCCTGAGTCTAGCCTTGACCTTCACAGGTGAATAAACTGAGGCTTTGTGGGACCAGAGCCAACACACCAGCCCATCGCCTCCCTCCCAGGCGAGAGCAGGAGCCCTCCCACCCCCTGCTTGGGGAGGACCCTTTCCATCTCCTGGAACAAGCAAATGTCCAGCAATACTTGGATCCTGGGTGTCCCGGGGCAGGGGGCTGATCCCTGGGCTTCTGGATTTTCCGGCTTCTTCACTTTTCCCCTCTTCTTCCACTAGCCTTTCTCACAAGGGTTCTCAGACACTGCTGTCCC